GGGATGTTAGTTTTGTCAAAGGCCTTTTCTGTACCTGATGAGATGATCATGTTTGGGTATGTTGTGTTTTCATTTTCATTCAAATCTGAAATTTATAATTTCCTTCTCAATTTCTGCTTTGACCAAATTTTCATTCAGTGGTGAGCTGTTCAGCTGCTATGTATTTGTAATGTCATTTCTATTGTTTTTTGTCATTTCTATTGCTGTAGATCTCCAGCTTTAGTTCATGGTAATCATAGGATGCAGGGTGCTGTTTCAGTGTTCTTATATCTAATGAGAATTGCTTTATGTCTTAATGTGTGCTCAATTTTGGAGAAATTGTGACAAGAAACTGTGAGAAGAAAGTGTATTGTTGAGTGTTTCTTGGAATATTCTATAGATTTCTTTTAGATCCATTTGACTATGGCTTTCTTTGTTCTGTGTTTGATTAAAAGTGAGACCCCAGCCCTCTAATACCCCTATATCCAAGGACTCTGGGATGAATGATTGGAAGCATCACCCCAGCCCCTGGCCTGAGAGTGCGTTGATCTGGACCAACTCCCAGCCTGCCAAGCTCAGGACCACTCCCTGGGGAGGGTCAGGACCACTCCCACAGGCTATTTAGGCTTGTGCAGAAAAAAGAAACACGTGGTCTCTGGGGTTCACGTGGGCTCCTTTCCCCACCATGCTGACTGAATTTATTAGGCATTTTAATTTGGTCTAATCTGGTCTAATTGAAGTTATTTATGCCGGTGAAGCGGCTTTTCTTAAGATTAAACCAAACGTTCTGTAAGAACTACAAAGACTTCATGAAACTGCTTCCATGTTGGAACACGGAATCTGGGATAACCTAAATCTGTGTTCCTGGGATACGCTCACTCAAAGTGGCTCTATTCCCTTTAAGATGAAAGCTATGACTTTTTTTAAAAAAATTTTTTTATTAGCAAAGGACACTAGAGGAAAAAGGTGGCCAAGAGAGGCTCCCTCTTCCAGACTATCATCGAAATACAGAAAGGTAGTTTATTAGATATATGTGGTATGTACGCAGCAGGCAAGACAGCGAAGATTAAGCACACAGCACAGTCTAAGGGAGTGTTTTTGTTTCAAGGGTTACTGTCAGGTGGTGTTTCAATGTCACAGTGCCCTAGAACAGTTGCAATAACTCTTCTGATGACATAACAAGATAAGGGCTCCGATTGGAGGCAGCAGTGTCCTTTCCCTGAGCCCAGCCTGTTCCAAAGCAAAACAACCTTGATCTGTAGTTAGAATAGCTTAGCTTACCACAGCGGCCTCTAAAAGGCTTTCACATACAATATCAAGTTTCTTTTGCTGGTCTGAATTTTGTCACTGAGTATGATGATTTGTCTTATCCAGAGCTGTGTGCATAGTAGCTAAAGTAGACTTTATTAACTAAAAAGGAAGCAGTTAATACCTAGGAAACAAAAGTTGGGTCCTTAAAGGACAACATAAAAAGACTTAAAGGATTTTCACAGAAAAGGAGAGAGAGAGAGAGAGAGAGAGAGAGAGAGAGAGAGAGAGAGAGAGAGAGAATTGGAAGTACTGATTTTTAACCTTTTCCTTAAACAGTCTCTAAGTCTCCTGAGCCAGTTTTTTCTCCAGGTCCATGATAACTCAGTGGCTGGGCAGCATTTCCTGAAACTGGCATCTTAAGGTTTGGCAGACCACATTGTGATTCTGAAGTTTTCTGTCAACCCTGTCCTTCCAGTTATGGCCACAGAAGTTTCTTGTCCAATCGGCAAAAAGCCCACTATCACCATCATCATCACTTTTATATTCTTTGCAACAATGATTGAAATATTAAAAAAAAAAACTCAGGGTTTCCTTGAGAGTTCAGAATAAGCTAGTATTTTTTTAATTATTTCTGATAATTCCATTCTTGTTTGCTTGTTTGAGACAGGATCTCTCTAGCTAGTTCAGGCTGGTCTTGATCTTATGATTCCCCCTACCTCAGCTTCCCAAATGTTAGCATGCTGCACCATGCCTCGATGATGATTCTGTTATCATCCTTGAGGAGAAAGACCTAGCGAACAGCCATTTCATCAGCAGTCAGCCTTCAGCAATGTCTATTTATAAACTGCTCAACCCACACTCCTCTCGCCTTTGTCTATTTAAACTGAGAAACTTTTAAAAATTCTTCCAGGACTTGCGACTTGCAGCCTAAGGGTACAGCCTACTGCCTGGATTGCCCTGTATCTTGCTGCCAACAGCATGTGGTATCATCTATAGCTGTCAATATTGGAGTATGACCCTCATATCATTCCTACCACCTTCAGACCATTTGTGAAATGACCACAAATAAAGGACAGATGGCTGTAATTTGAAAACTGTTCTAAAGTACATAGAAGAGAATACTCTTCCAGTAAATTGATAGTGGCAGAAAATCCAGATCCTGGATCAAAGACAACTTTAAATTGACAAATTTCCTATACATATACAAAGATAGAATGTGTATTTCTTAAGCACAGATTGATGAATTTTGTGTATACATGTCCCTGCGTTACCAACCACTGCAGGAGAAGACACATGTGCAGCATCCGATATGACTTCCTCTATCTCTTGTCTAGATCATAGGCCCTTACATTACCACTTCTGACCTCTGACCCCATATGTCAAATTTGATGACATTTGAAGTTTCTTGAAAAGGCACTGTGGATGTTGCTGCTGCTGCTGCTGCTGCTGATGATGATGATGATGATGATGATGATGGTGGTGATGGGGCGATGACAATGATGCTTGGTGGACTACCCATAGTGGTCTGTGAGAACTATTCACATAGTCCCGCAGTGGCAGTAATTCATGCTGCGTACCATTGCACTGCGTGAGTATCCCACTTTTAAAAAAAAAATCTCAGTCTGTAGTTATTTGGGGCATTCATTTGGGTTGTTTCAAGTTGGGGCTATTCTTTCTTAAAAAACAAACAAAGACATCTATGAATAAAACAGTCCCTGTCTTTTAGTTACTTTTCAGGGTGTGTAAATGCTATTTTCATTATAACAAGTTGTAATTGGACACTCGGTGTTGTGTCTTGACTGCGGAAGGCTGAGATTCAACTTGTCCAAGGGAAGTTATTATTAAGCATCACACCCAAGTTTGAAGTGAGGTTCTTGCAATCATCATGCCAGCGTTCAAGAGATCTTTGGGATCTCGTTTTCAAGCAGGCTGGTCATTTACCATAGGGAAATCCCTTTTGGAGACAAGCTTTAAAAACTATGTCAGTGTTCCTACAGAATGAGGCCATGGTTTATATTCCAAGAAAATTAAAGCATCAAATTGTTTACAATGTTTTCATGTCTTGTTTTAGAGGGAAATGCATGTTTCCTATTTCGTGTTGTTAGTGGAGGACTGCTTCTCAGTGACCCAGGAGAAGCCACGACCAAAGAAAGCAGGGTGATATCTCCTGGGGAGGCAAAACCAGTTCAACCTCTGAGACTACTGTCTACTATGGATGACCCTTTTTACAACTCTTCCTAGTACAGGAGTGTCTTTTCCTAGTTTCTGAAAGAAAGGCATGAGGAGATGACATCTAATTATAACTTTAACAATTTTCCAGAAAATTGGCAGGTACACAGCTGAGCCTGTCCACTTTTCTGAGCCCTAAGTCAGAAAACTCTAGCTGTTCTTTTTTTCTTCTTATCTCCTTTTTTATGGATACCAGCCAAATGCCTAGGAATTGTTTCCCTATGTGCTGGGCTTTCTTATCTTTCTGTGGAGTGTGACATTCTGCACACTTTTGCCATGTGACTGCTTGCTGACTCCCGTTTTAAGAGGCATGGCTTTCCCTTTCTTTCCTCCAGCAGTGCCAAGGTTTTCAGCTTCCAGTCCTGTTGTTTTTCTCTCGAGTTCTAATTAAGGTGTTCTCAAGTTTCAAAGAAAATAAATAGGGTTTATCTTAGGATTTCTTTCAAAGATACCCAATTCTTGGTACTCTACACCCTTCCTTTAAAGAAAAAACTAGTAACTTAGGTCTAGGCAAATGTGCAGGAAAACATCACTACCTTGAGGCTGCATTTTTCATTAAGGCCCGACTGTAGTGTTGGCTCCTGGATGGAATTTGGAACTTTGTGTGGTAAACATGTGGTGATTTAAAATCTTCTCCGGGTGAGGAGTGGCTCTTTAAACTGTGCACACACTGTGGTTCGTGCTGAGCATCTGCTTTCTTTCTGGGAATTGGGAATTCTGTATGTACTGGCAAGTGTGTCTTAGCTGAGGCTGCGAAGCAAAATCATTAGGGGCTGACCAATGGCTAAACAACAGGCTAGCATTTTTCATAGCTATGATTTCTGTGAGGCCCAAGACAAAGGCATCAAAAGAACACATTTCCGGAGAGCGTTTGCTCCCTGGGTTGTAGAGAGCTACCCTCTTGGCTTGCAGAGAGCTACTTGCCCTCTCACCGTGTCACCCAAGCCAGAGTTCATCGTTTCGTTGCTTTTTCTAGGGGCGCGGTATGAGTCAGGGTTTTCTAGAGTAGAAAGCCAGAATACTCTGTGTTACTTCCAAAAATCAAGCTGAATTAACTGGACAGAGAACTGTCAGGGAGGAGAGTTCCAACACATGCGTGTGCGTGCGTGTGTGTGTGTGTGCGCACACACACACACACACACACACACACACAGCAAGCAAGGGGAAATATGAACAAATGTGGAAAACTGACTCATGAAATTATGGAACCTTAGAAGTCCCACAGTCTCTACCATCTCCAACCAAAACAGTTGTGGAATAATTGAGTCTGACTTCAAAGGCATGAAAACCAGGGGAATTAATGGTGTAAATGCCAATTCAGAGTTGGAGAGCATTAAATGAGATGTTCCGGGTCAAGCAATGAGGCAGATTGGTAGGGGTTTCTTGCTCCTTCCTCAATTCTTTACCTTTGGCATATTCACGCCTCCAGTGGACGTATGACACACATCTAGGCCAGGAAAGCTTCACTATGAAGTCAAACAACTTATATGATAATTTCATCAACACATTTAGGTTTAATCTGAGTAAAGCCATATTTAATCTGAGTAACTCATGGCCAACCAAGTTGGTACACGAAAGTAACAATTGTGTGTGGTAGTTAGAATGAGAATGAGCCCTCGTAGATTCACATGTTTGAATACTTGGTTGGTGGAACTGTTTGGGAAGAATTAGGAAGCATGTCACCCAGCTGCAGGTGGTGGGAGGCTTTGAGCTTTCAAAAGACTTTCACCTTTCCCAACATGCTCTCCACCTCCTTCCTAAGGATCAAGATGGGATCTCTCAGCTGCTGCTCCAGCCATCTACCCCCATGCCCTCATTCCACCATCATAAACGCTACCCTTCTAGAACTGGAAGTTGCCTTGGCAATGGTGTTTTACCACAGCAATGGAGAAATGACTAATGCAATGTATACTAACCCACTCATAAGATCTCTATCTCAAACTGTGCTTCCTCTTAGAAGGTGCAAGATGAGAAAGAACATATCATAGGGAGAAGGGTCTCTTCCTCCACTCCTAACAGTCAAGCCGTTGACTTGCATTGCGTAACATTCCTGCTGAAGAGACACAGACAAGCATGTAATCATTAAAGGCAAACTTCCAATGACAGACAAAGAAAGGATCCCACCCAAGTCTAGTTAGTATACTAGAGTGTTTTCTGGAGATACTTGCAGGAGTATGGGTGGAGAGTTGTTTACAGGAGCACAGATAACTTAGAAGCAAGTACATCGATGTAAAGCCCACCCCGCTATGAGGAACAATTCACAACAGCTCAGTTCTGGTAACTCTCTGCCTTATTTGAAGGCAGGCAGCTTCTAAGGGTCACAGAGTCTCTTCTACCCAGCAATTATTAGTGATAATATGACCTTGGAAGGGACCCTGTGAAAGCTGTAAGGACTGCCTAAACCTTGTGAGTTTCATTTTCTTTTTAATTCTTAGTGAATCTCCCTGCTGGAGGGAATGTTTTGATCTGGAGGAAATTACTGCAGAATGCTTCATCTTTGAGGTATCTCTGAGCTTCTGTTCAATGTTCTAGGTTACCTGAAGTTTCCAACAATGGACAAAGATCCAAATTTACCCACTTTTCTCAGTATGTAGCTAGTTTAGTGATTTGATGAAGCTGGACCCAGACAGAGTCATAATTCCAGGCTGGTTTGTGAATTTCTGAATAAATAACAGCACAAAAAGTATGGAGTTCAGAAAACACTACTCTGAACTTTTTGATAATTAGGGATTTGGGCCCAATCAGAATGCGATGTTTTCCTAACCAACCTGTCCTTATTTTAGAGGAGCCTTACTCTGCAGCTCAGGCTAACTAAAACTATCTAACTCAGGCCAGTCTCTAACACACAGCATTTCTTCTGCCTCAGCCCATCAAGTACGAGAATTATAGACATGAGTCACCATGCCTAGCTTAAGAATGTTTTTCCGAGTCATGCAGCGCAAGCTTTTATATCCCAATACTTGGGAGGCAGAGACAGGAGGATCTACAAAGTGAGTTCCAGGACAGCCAGAGTTACACAGAGAAACCCTGCCTCGAGAACAAAGAGTGCTTTTCTGTATAAATTATCTCATTATTCTTGCACTCCACCTAAGTAAAAGAAAAAATAATAACTAGAAATACGTAAAGAGATAGACTTCAAATGAGATATACTGATTTTGTTTTAATAAAATAACTTTATTCTAAGTAACTCAGTAATAAAAATATTATACAATGGTATAAGGAATTCAATCAAACACTAGAACACTACCCTGTCCCAAAACTCTATTCATCTCACTAAACTTCTATGCAGTTAGAAGGGCTATTTTGAACTGGTTTTGTGATAACAGAAAAAAAGATTAAAGCACAGAACTTGGGGAGCTGTAGGGAAAGAAGACATTAATGATGTGCTTTTCACAAAAGCTCTTGAATACCAGGATGATAAGAGGTAGTGATGTAAACCAACAGCTGGGCCCGTGATCACTTAGCAGTGTTGAGGTTGGGGCATCCAGGTGATGCAGCCCCAGCTCCTATACTCATCAATCTTGTTTCAAAACATAATTGTTACAGTTAATAGAGTTTATCTCACAGCCTAAATACACAACTTTTTGCTTTCAAATGAAGTCAGTACTGTAGATTGGCTTCATCCTGTAACCTGGGGTCCTACAGATAATAAATTTGATATAAAGAACTTGTTCAAAAAACAGAGAAAGAGGATGGGTGATAGGGCCGAACTGTACCTAAATACACTAATGACGGAAGCTGCCCATCTTTAGGGAAGGCTGTCCATGAGAACGGTCATTTACTGCCTCTCAGAATTCAGATAACAAAGAGCCCCTGCAGTAATGTAAAAATTTTAGAATTATAGACTGGCTTAAACTATTTATGTTACCCAATGTGGTTTACAGAGTGTGTTAAAAACTTTGCATGACAGGACAAATTATCCAGGATAACCAATTTCAAACGAACTAGTTACTTACGGCTCATGGTTTCAGGGCTTTCAGTCACTGCTGGCTGGATCTGCTGCTGCGGGATCTGCGATGAGGCAGAACATCATTGCAGAGGGCATGGTTTGGAGTAAACGTACTCATTAGCTATGGTTGCTAGACAGCACATGATAGATGACAGGACAGACAGACAGACAGATGAGACAGATGAGAAAGAGAGAGTCGCAGCAAGTTCCCCAGTGGCATAGTTTCCACAAGACCCTCCACCTGGAAGTTCCACCACCTCCCAACAGCACCACAAGATGGCAGCCCAACCCTTGGAGCCTAGGGGGTCATTGAAATCTGTAACATGCTGAAAAACTGATTTTCTTCTGGGAGTCTAGAACTTGGGTATTTGCCATGTTGAGAGTGTCTTCAAGACTAGTGCCCAATAAAAATTTGAGGTGCTAGGCGTCTAATGATCCCAGCCAGCAAACATGTTCCTTGGCATGTCACAACTTACTGCTCAATGAATTAAGCATGTCTTTTGTGATTGGAAGAGGGCTCTTAGAAGCATGAGCCAATTTTGCTCATGACTTTGCCAATGTACCTGTTCAATACAATAATTTTCTTCGTAGCCTTTCATTGTCATAAATATTAGTCATGAGTTTAACACATGTCTAGTACCTTCAGTCCTTTCAGTGAATCACCAAACCTAGAATAGTCTTGGAAAGTCTCATTGAGGAAGCAAAGGAATTTATTTAAATTATTGATTTCTGGATTACTTAAATTAAAACATTTCCCAAAGCAACTAGAATTTTACCCAAGAAAGAAAAAGATTTAATCACAATAAAAACAAGAAGAGGAGGAGGAAGAGGAAAGAAAAAATCAGAAGAAAGAAGGAAGAAAATAAGGAAGGAAGGAGGGAGGGAGGAAAGGAAGAAAGGAAAAGGAGAGAAGGATTTGATCTACAGGATAGAAAATCCTCTGACTCACTGGTCTCCTAGCTAAGCCCATTTCTCAGAAAACACATATATGGAAAAGATGACACCTATGCACCTTGCCTGGCCTCAGGTTTCTGTAACAGGGCCTGGGAGAGCAAAACATAAGAGCACAGCGGTTCAGTCTCCGCATCAGGAGATTGGCTCTCCCATCCTGCCTTGAAATCCAGAGGCCATATTACCCTTAAAACCCTGTTACCAGCTTTCTCATACAGCGAACTTGGACACTGGCCTGGGAGATTCTATCAGGAACACAAGATTCAGAAGAGATGCCCCTTTGGCTCTTTAACTAGTAAGGAGATAGATGTGCAGACCAATATGGTAGAATACAGTAAGTATGGGATTCTGAAAAGAGCACAAAACTAATGAATGGAAGAAATATCAGATTTTCACCCAAAGCTACAAAAGCAGTGTGTACCCACAGTTTAAGAGGAGGAGGAAGAGGAGAAGACCAATTTAAATCATTTAAATTAGGTGGCCTCTATTCTGGCCCATTGGTTCATATATGCATTGCAGCAGCAACATGCTGCCTGTGTCTTTGTATAGCACAGTATCTCTGCAGTATAAAATGAGGTCGGATATTATACTCTCTCGAGCAACACTCCTTCTGCTAAGGATTGTTTTCATTTGTGGTCCTTTGTCTCCATACAATTTTTTTTTTACTGTTTTTCTAGTTCTGTGAAGGAAGTCATTGGAATTTTGATGAATATCCCATTGAATCCTTAGATAATTTTAGTAATAGAGCCATTGTCACAATATTCTGCCAATACAGGAGCACGAAAGATCATTCGACTGTATACCATTATCCTTAATTTCCTTTCCCAGTCTCCTGAAGTTTTTACTGTAGATATCTTTCACTTCCTTGGCAAGTTTATTTTTGTTTGAGCTATTGTTTTTTGTCAGCATTTATTCAGTATATATGAATGCCACTAGTCTTTTGCTTTGGTGTTTTGTTTTTGTTTTTTTTGGACAGGTTCTCACACTGTATACCTCTGGCTGTCCTGGAACTCATTCTAGCCTCAAACTCACAGAGACCCACCTGCCTCTGCTTCGCAAGTGCTGATATTAAAGATGTGTAGCACAGCACCTGTCCAAAAGCCACTGTTCTTTGTATGTTGATTTAGTATCCTGAAACTTTTCACTGAAAGTTTCGGGTTTTTAAATTCCTATTTAATAGTTATCTGGTAGAGTTGTAGAATCTTTTAAATACAGAATCATGTTATTTGCAAATGTGGATACTTCAACTTATTTCTTTCCTATCTTTACTCTTTTACATCTGTGTCTTGTCTTATTTCTCTAGCTAAGACTTCAGTTTCAAGTACCATAACAAGGGAAAGGAGCCTTAATAGCTACCTGTAGAAGAAAAAAATTGCTATCTTTGCCCCAGACAAAAAAAAAATCAATTCAAAATAAATTAAAGATTTTCTTTTAAAGCCTGAAATGCTGAACCTACTGGAGACACAGAGAACTCACTTCACGGTCCAGGCATAGGTACAGGAACAGGACTGCAGCAGCACGTTATGTCCCAAACAGGACAGAAACACTTTCTGCTCAGGAAACATAAAAAAAATATAAAAAAAACAAATCAAACAGACTGCCTATAGAATGGGAGGAAAAAATGCCAAATATATTTCAAACAAGAGATTAATACCTAGAATATAACTTACAAAATTAAACCTTCACCAAAATAAAAAAATAAGCAAACAAACAAATAAAAAACACATCCAACATCATTAGTCATCAGGGAAATGCAATTGAAAACTACTCTGAGATTCTACAGCCCGCTCAGAATAGCTACCATGAAGAAAAGACACACCATCCAGCGCTGCTGAGAATATGGGGAAAGAGGAACTGCTATTTCCTGCTAGCAGATGTGTGAACAAATGTAACCATTATGGAAATTGGATATTTCTGTAAAAAAAAAAAATAGAGAGCCGCATGACCCAGCATAGATCTATGCCTGGGCACAAATCGAAAGGATTCTATGGTCTGCAAGAGACATGTGCGTATTCGTGCTTATTGCTGTATTACTTAAATAGTTAGGGAATGGAAGCAGCCTAGATATCCATAATGGATGAGTGATGAAAATGTGATACATATACACAGCATCATTTCATTCATCTGTAAAGAAAAATGAAATCATGAAACTTGCAGGGAATGGATAGATCTATAAACTATATTATATGGAAGGTAATGCAGACTGAGAAAGACAATGTTGTCTCCCATACATAGTTCATAGTTTATAATGTCTCTATGTACAAAAGGGAGGTCGGAGGTCAGTGTACTATCGGTTATGAAACTAGTACAGAGACCACTTGAGGAGAACCTAGAGGTTGAAGAAAGAAGGGAGGCAGTAAGACATGAAACATCAAAAGGAAAAGAAGCTGTGGAAGATGACAAGGGTGATGATCACAAGCATGGCAGAGAAGACGGGGAAGTAAATAAATAAATATACATATACATTTTGTAAGAAAAAATGTCACAATGAAACCCAGTATTCTAATTCTAAAACATTTACTTAAAAAAATTGAGCCGGGCGCACGCCTTTAATCCCAGCATTCCAGAGGCAGAGGCAGGAGAATCCCTGTGAGTTCAAGGCCAGCCTGATCTACAAGAGTCAGTTTCAGGATAGTTAGGATTGTTACACAGGGGAACCTTGTCTTGAAAAGCAAAAAAAAAAAACCAAACCAAACCAAAACAAAACAAAAAACAAACAAACAAAAAGTTTAGATGGAAACACAAAGATAGGCAAAAATATTCACAAACCATGAATTCAGCAAAGGACTAATATCTAGAATCCACAAATTTTCAAAATTCAACATTGAAAAAACAAATAATATAATTGTAAAAATAAGCCAAAACCACAAAAGACTGTGAAAGATAAATGCACAATAAGCAAAAAGATAGCTAATAAATGGACAATACGTTCATGAAAAGGTGCCTATCAACATTAGTCACTAAATAAAAGGAATTAAAACCATAAAACGGCTGAAGAGATGGCCCAGTCATTAGAGTGCTAGGTACACAAACACAGAAACTTGGGTTTGAACTGTTTTAATACAAAGCTAGCCACTCATGCTGTAATCCTGGTGCTGGGATTACAGAGACAAAAGGATGCCTGTGTCTTGCTAGCTGGCCAATGTAGATGAATTGGAGGGCTCCAGGTTCAGTGAGAGATGCTATATTAAAAAACTATATAGATAACTTCTGAGGAACTACCCCCAAACTTCACCTCTGCCTTCTGCACACATGCCTGCCACCAAGCCTGCCAACCTGAGTCTGACATCTGGGACCCATATGGTGGAAAGAAAGAACAAACTCCTGAGAGTTGTCCTGGACCTACACATGTGCCATGGCACTTGAATGTCCACGCACATGCAAACTAAACAAAAAAATGTAATTAAAAAATTTCCAAAGTAACAGTGAAGTACAAGGCAGAATTTCTACATTTCCAAAAGATACAAATTCTTGCAAATGGCAATGAACTAAGTCAACAGGGATGAAAGATCTTCTAAACCTGTGAGTGGGCATAAAGGTGGCAAATGAATGCATAAATTATACATGAGTTATCAGTCATTGTGAAAGAGGGGGGAGTAGGGTTACTATACATGGCTCCTTGCAGACAGATGCAGAGGCTGCTTCTGACAGCAGAATGAGCTGCCAGCTGATTGAATCATGACATGACATTCCCCTGACAAGTAAGGTAGTACCACCTACTCAACTGAAGATTTGATGGAAGTTTAATAAGGCAGAAGCCATCAGGATCAAGCAATAATTATCATCAGGAAGGCTCAGGAAGATAGGATCCTACATATCATAAGTAGGATATCAAGCACATTGCCATCAGGTCCCAGTGGAAGCAGCAGTAGTGAAGATGAGGGGCAGGGACCACAGCACAGTGAAGTCTGGAACAAGCAGTGATAGCGGTGGTGGTAGTTGAGAGAAGAGGGCTACCTGGGGTACAGTCAAAGCAACTGAGTTGATATCTGTACTAGTGGTGGTCAGTAATATTGGCGCTAGCATAGAAAAGCTGGAGCAGCCAGCAACTTGTTCATTAAATATTTTATCAACCCTTTATCCAGCATTAACTGTTTCAGGCACTGTGTTGAACGGATAAATAAACTAACAAGTTCCCATTATATATCTTATTTGGTAACAGGTTCAGGAGTACAATGGTTACTATACCATGATTCCTACTCTTCAAGGCATCAAAACGAGCTGTGTAGCTGATAAAAAAACAAAGAGATGACAATATGGGAAAGAAACACAAACTGTCATCTGATGATGTAGCCATGTTGTTGGTCTCCAAGACCCACATGGCCAAAAGATAGAAGTGATTCCTAAAGGTTCCTACCATGCATGATCCATAGCACGGGTCCGCCCATACACACACATACACAATATAAAGATGAAAACTTTCAAATGTTTTAGTTCCAATGTTTTATTCAAATTGGGAACCTATAATCCTCCAAGATAACACAGAAAAATGTGAAATTACAGGTGGAGAATGCTTGTTGTTATTGTTGATCTGAAGCAGCCAAGATTACTTAAAGGACAACAGATTCTTCTTTTGAAGTTCTGGGATCAGAATCTCTGTTTGATCAATTCAATTACACTACCATTTTTAGTTTGTTGCTAGTGGGAATGGAAACATTTCACTAATGCAAGAGAAAAGGCACAGCCCTGAAGTCTCAGATCGAGTCGTCCTATTTTAATCAGTCCATGCGGGCACTTCTCCTTCTCTTTTCAATATATATATATATATAAAACAAAGGTGCTCAAACCTGAAATGAAGAGCCATAGTCTAGAACATTTATTTATTCATGCTTGTCTTTTCTTCTTGAAAATAATGTTAATCCCAGCTGGGCGGTGGTGGTGCACGCCTTTAATCCCAGCACTGGGGAAGCAGAGGCAGGCAGATCTCTGGGAGTTCAAGGCCAGCCTGGTCTTCAAGAGCTAGTTATGGGATAGGCACCAAAGCTACAGAGAAACCTTGTCTCAAAAAAAAGAAACAAAGAAACAAAGAAAAGAAACAAAGAAAAGAATGCACGGCAATTTTCATCTTTTGAGACCTGACCCAGTGCTCAGGAAGGAAACGATGGATGGGAACAAGGAAGAAGGTTTAAGAAAACTATTTCAAAAGAGTGAGCAAACTAGAGTGTTGTGACAGGCATATGTGCTCCAGGGAAAAGTCTATAAACTGGGATGTCACGTGATATTCCACTTAAGACACAGACGTCAAGGTGACTGGATCCAGGCCCTCGGCAGACGCACCGCCTTTATAACTATTGCAGCTGGAGCACACAGGCACCTTCCAGTCACTTCGATTAGTCAATTAGTCAACCTACATTTCTCAGTTTCCATCTAGTCTTTGTCCTCTGCCATTGCCCCGGTAACTATAAACTCATCCAAAGTACAGTCTGGATACTGCAGAGACATGAAGCTGAAGCTGGGTTATACAGCACAGTGTTCTCACCTTTTCATCTCATAGTTTTAGTCTTTTTTGTTTGTTTGTTTGTTTTTTCGAGACAGGGTTTCTCTGTAGCTTTGGAGCCTGTCCTGGAACTCACTCTGTGCAGGCTGGCCTCGGACTCACGGAGATCCGCCTGCCTTTTCCTCCTGAGTGCTGGGATTAAAGGCGTTCACCACCACCGCCCGACTCACAGTGATAGGTTTTTAACAGGCACCAAGGTAGCCACAACCTCATAACGGGTCCCTACCAACCGACTGGGCGGCCGGCCCCACCGTTCCTGCCGGCCAATTCCCTTTATATTTCTTCTGCACTCCCGCCCACTCACAACGCCCCTGAGAGCTGTCCCTCCGCTGATCCCTGCGCACCCCAATCTCGCTGTGTACAGCACCCCTCCTCGCTCCACTGGCGACAGTGCCACCGGTCCGTCCACCCTGGAGAAGGAGGAGTGGTCAGCCGTCACCTACGACCTTCCAAATGATTCTAAGCAGGCGCCAGGCACAAGGGAAATGCCACCCAGAACACCCGGCTCAGGCCCGGCCTTCTTCCCCGGAAGTGATTCTCCCCAACACGCTCGCTAGGGGCGGGCACAGCCGCGGGTCTAGCCCGGCATGCCCTGGGCTTCCGGTGACCTCCGGCCCTTCTCTGTCGTCCGCTCCTTCTGCCTGGCGTGCTCGCTCGCGCGTTTCTCTCCCTCCACGCTCCCGGCTCCCTCCCCACGCTGCCCGGTGACCGTGGCGCCCGCGACCGGCGCGGCGGCGGCGGAGGACAGTCGTCATGGCCGCCTCTAAGCCGGTGGAGGCGGCGTTGGCGGCGGCGGC